ATGCTCTTGCTGTGGTGACACAGGATGATAAATAGCACTCACTGACTTGATGGGTTAATGCTACAGCTCCTTTTCCCTCAGCAGCCAGGTGCCTAGGGTAGTACAGCATCTTGGTGAGGTAGGGAAGTGCTATTCCTTGAGTGTCCTTGAGAGGGAAGGAACCAGGGGCTCTCATACATGTGAGATGTGCTAAGGTAAATTTTATTTCAACTTCTTGACATTCCTATCTATTCTGCTGAGCACTTGGTCCTCTCACATGGAGCAGGGTGACTTTGCCAGGACACTGTCATGTCCTTGGCTCACCTGCTGGCACTGCCACAGTGGTACAGGCCCTGGGAAAGTGGCTGGGTTTTTGGGGGAGTGGAGAGGGGCAGAGCAGCATAAACTATAACATAGGCTCAAGATGTAGGGTCATGCCCATTCAGGCTAAAATATGCTGTCTGTCCCTCATCTCATGTGATCATTGCCAGCCCCAGAGCAGCCTATAAAACAGCCTAGATGACCCTGTGGGTGCATTAACTGCCTCATCTGCCAAGGCAGCCATGTGCCGTCGCAGATACTGTCCCAGGCCACAAGACAGGCACTCACTCTCGCCTGCTTCCCCAGCAGTGCCAGGCAGCAGAGTAGCAACCCTCACTGGCATTAGGGCTGCCTTTCCAGGAGGTGAAGAGGTCCTGCGTGTGAGACACCCAGGCGGGAGACCTGCATGCCCCAAGCTGAGAGCAGGAAAAATTATTATCTTGTGATACCTGATAGCCCATCTCTGATAGCTGCCATGGCCATCAGAGAGGCAGCTGCCTGCAGCTCATTCTTTCCATTTATGACTGTATCACAAACCATTTGGTGTACATAACCTTGGAAGAGGCTGGCCCCGGCCTGAGCAGCAAAAATGTGGCCAGCTCTGGCCCCAGTGGAAGCAGTCCCAGTGACCACCCTGCTCTCAGCTCCTCTCCACAAGGCCTCAAGACTTGAACTGATTATCTTCTTACACTTACATCCAGCCTGGAAGGTCAGAGAGACTTATCTTGCTCTGCCTGCCCCTCATGGTGTTCTATGAACCCACACTGTTCTCCCCTTTGCTGTCTTTCATTGAGCCCCGGACACGCTGGTGTGATAGCACTGTTAAAATAACCTGGGGCAATGCACCAGTGAAGCAGGAGTCACCATCTCTGCCCTTGCTAGGAAGGCCCAATGCATACATTTCCCATCATTGGAAAAAAGGGAATGGAAGGAAAGGCTGGGACACTGGCAGGCTCAAAGGCTGGGTGAGCAGTGTGAGCCTTTGAACTGGGTACACCTTCTGGAGCTGTAAGGTCTGGCCCTCTTGCATGCCTGATAGAGAGGCATCTTTATCCTGCAAGAGGCCAGAGTTTGGGCCAGCTGCTTCTGGCTGCTTTCCCTAAAGGACGTGAATGCCAAAGTCAGCCTGCCCACTGTCAGCTGTCAAGAAGCAGCAAGGGCCAGCTGCTCCCGAAGGGAGCTGGGTAAAATAACACAGCTAGTAGGGCTGGGGTCTCACCAGCTGGGATTCAGTCCCACAGCACCCAAGCAAGACAAGCAGGGCAGACTCAGCGATCACGGCGAGGTTCAGCCAAGAGTCAAGATCATCAGCAAGTTTGTGGTGATGATGCAGGTCCAAACTCAAGCCAATAAGTCAATTTTCAGATCACAATCAAGTGCAGTGATTGCCAGGGAGGTCCATGGTCACAAGGCAGGTCTGAGGTCATGTCAGGAAGCCAGTCTGCAGGCCATGGTCACAAGGCAGGTCTGAGGTCAGGAAGCCAGTCTGCAGATCAGGATCAGAGTTCATAGCCAGACACGGTATGGCTGTGGCTAAGCTGGAGACTGGTCCTCCTGCAATATAACTCAAGCAGGGGCTAAAGGTCCAGGGCTGAGCTTATATGGGCTCCTGGGCCCACAGGCAGAGGTGTGGATGGAGGCCCCAGGTGAGCTGGTAAGGGCCATTAAGGCCCATTTGTGCCCTCAGGAACCTGACACCAGATGCCTCTATCAAGCATTTGGGTGGGCTCCTGCCTTTGGCTTAGTATAGCAAACCCTCCCAAGCACAGAGCTACCAGATGCTGGCAAACATCTGTTCAGGTGCTGCTAGCGCAACCAGGGCCAGAGGTGAAGTGGCAGGGGGACTGTGCCTCTTCCGGTTGGAAACCAGACTTATTCCTCTCCTAGATAACACTGTACATCTGCTTATCTAAAACTAGCATCCAAGTTTAGGTAGGAGTGGATTCCCTGCCCTAGCTCGGCCGGGAGAGTTGGCTAGGAGGCTGCAGGAACTGCCTAGGTTTGGGAGCCCCGTAAGTCTTCCTTTGGGCCCTGGCTATTAATGAGCAGAGGATGTTGTTACACGCCAGCAAGAGCTGCTACCTGCTCTCCTCCCCGTTCGTTATCTCAGCAAGCGATGGGTTCTGCACCTTGCTTAACTTCTCCATTTGCTCTGTCTAACTGCAAGTCCGGCCCAGTGCCAATGGGACCTGCTGGTCCCAGGCAGCAAGGCCAGGCCCAGACCAGTTCAGACTCCCAGGTCCAGTGTCTGGCATGGTACAGTGAGGGGCTCCGATGAAATCAAATGGATCCTGGTCCCCTTCCTGAGGAACACCCCCATCCTCCCAGAGAGGAGCAGGCTAGCAGTGATGGTTCAAGATGCTGGTTTGCCCATCAGTGTCATGCGGTTCAGGAGCAGCATCCAGGATCTGGCACTGTTACCTTGGCTTCATCCTCTGGCACTGACCTTGGAGCCCAAAAGAATGAGCTCCTTGAGGATAGAGGGGGTCTTGCCATGCATGGTATGGGAAATGCAACTATTCCCATATCTCCTGTCCTAGCGTCCTCCTGGCAGCAGGAACCTCCGTCAGGCAGCCTGGCAGGCTGTATGTTACTCCCCAGCCTGGCATGACACCAGTCAGTGAAAGAGAGCAGGAATTTATCTGACTATGCTGGCTGGAGCCCATGGCATAGCCAGGATGTGAATCATACATTTGCTAGGCTGGTTGAGTGATCTGCTTGTGTGATGGGGCAGTAAGGGATGATGGTGCTGAGGGCACCCCTGTGCTAGATTTGGTGGTAGCAGCAGACATCTCTGGCCCTTCCCAAGACATCTTTGGATCAGCCTCACTTTTTATCTTCCTCCTCTGCCCCCATGAATTTGCCTGCTTGGCTGTTCTCTTCCAGCTGCTGCTGGCCAAAGCCCCCATTGCCATTTTGTCCCACGTGGCTTATCTCATTGCTCCTATCTTGTTTTTTTTGTGACTGCAGAGGGGAGTGTTGTGATGGCATTAAGGAAGCTCAAGGGTCTCCCCAGCTGCTCAGTCCCTACTGAGCTGCAGGCCAGCAAGTGGAGACATGGAACCAACACCAGTCAAGGAGGAAGATGGTACAGCAGCATACACGAGCGATGCTCCTCTGGCCAAATCCACTTTGCATTTCTAGGGAGTCAGAGGGAGGGATGGGCAGGATGGGCAGGACTGCCAGCTTCTTATCACTGAGTATTGCTTAAGGAAAACCTGCTTCCCTTGCTACCTTTCCTCCTTTTGCTCTCCACTGCTGCCTCTCTCCCTCACAGGTTACAACACCAACGGACCTGTCTAGACCATGTTGGCTCCATCCAGAGGTACATGGAGATCCCTGGATGTTCTTCCCCACAGTATGAATATGCCGATATGCCTGATCTTGACCGGGGTAAAGTTGTTACCACCCCTCCAGAGAGGTGTGGAGGAAGAGAGCAGAGAGGGGACAGTAGCAGTGGGGGAGCTGGGGGAGGGTTGAGAGGACAGTAAAAACCACCTGAGCACTTAGGAGCTGTCTCCCTGCCTGCAAAGGCTGTACTCCTTATGTTTGCTGTGACAGTGCCTGCTGACAGGGACCCCAGGAAGATGTCTGAGGATAGTACGAGCTGTGGATTTACCCAGGCACCTTTCAGGCTTTGCCAAGTTCAGCAGCAGCAATGCTTTCATCACCCCTGCCCAGGAAAGATGCAGGAGCCATATGGCTGCCAGGAGCTGCCTGGGACTGCTCTAGTAGCTGGAAAACCTGCAATCCTTCTTGCAGACTGTGGTCTGTGGTAAGCTGTTCACCAAATGGTGTCATCTTTTGCAGGCTATCTACTGTTACAAGCAGATGGGAATGGTGCGCTGTGGCCTGTGAAACATGTTGCAGGCTGGCAGGGGGCCACTGCTCCCCAAAGCTGCTGCTCTTAACCCTTTGAAGGCTCCTGACTACACAGCGAAGTCATATAAGAATGTTTTCAAGAGCTCTTCCCGCTCTCTGCCAGATACTAGTGACGCTCATAAGGCAGAGAAATGCTTGAGAAATCTGGCCCTGAAAAGCCAGTGGCACCCTCTGTACCTCAGTTTCCCCTAGCTTGACCTCTAAACTCGAAGAGAGGGATTCTCTTTCTACCTGGAAGGTCCCAGACAGAGCTGGAAGTAAGTGCATGGCACCACAGGTCTGGAGGGAGCCCGCTGCATGGAAGGACAACACTGCATGCAGCATGCATGGAAGGTGGAGCAGTGTTAGGTGTGCTGCACAAGGCACAGGCAGGCAGCCTGCTGCGTGTGCACATATGCTACTGAGCCACAGTAGCATAAGTGCACCGTTCCTGGACCTCTCCAGGTTCCTGCATCCCTGCTGAGACGGGGGCCAGGGAGCAGAGGATGTGGCTGCAGGAAAGAGGGAGGTCACCTGACACAAGAGAGCCCTGTTTCTGTCAAGGTGGCTTGCACAGCCCAAGTGATTTTTAACAAGTAATCCTTGCTGGGAATCAGTCTGGCATGTGGGGCCTTGCCAGTGGTCTGGAGAAGCGGGCGAGGTGCGTGCGGTACACGGGAGGGCCTGAGAGCAGCCAGTGCACAGGAAGGCTGCTGTGTCCGTTGCTTCCCCCAAATCCTGGTGGCTTTAGGACCGCGAGGCACACTGGCACGCTGCAGTGTGAATGGAGCGGAGCTGCCCTGCCTCCACACTCCCCTCCCTGGACTGCTTTGCTGACTTGTCTGCTCTGATTCGATACACGCCGCAGGGAAGCTGGGCCAGGGGGCTGTGTGTGCCCAGGGCTGCGCAGAGTGAGTGCACCCACAAACTTTGTTCAGTGCCTCTGCCCCAGCCCTGCACTCTCGGTTCCTGGGTGCTCTGGTTGGAAGTATGTCCACGGATGAGGTGTACGTCCTCCGTCCCTTCAAACTCATCGCCCTCTGCTGCATTTTCATTGGCTTGGCGCTGGATGTGGTGGCCCTCCTGAGTCCTGCCTGGGTCACCTCGGACTACTACTCGCTGTCCTTATGGGAAGTGTGCAAGCAGTCCACGGACATGTGGCACTGCCTGTCCACCCTCAAGACAGGTGAGAGAAGGGGACGTCCTGCTTGGGGGATGGGACCATCAGCATGGGCAGCCAGGCTGGGACTCCTGCTGCCAGTGTTCCTGCCAGAGTTCTCCCTGGTGCTTACCTCCCTCAAAAATTTGCCCCCAGGATGATTTTGGCCCTCTGTCCTGGGCTCTGCTGGAAGGGGGCCCAGCCTTGGAGCTTGCTAGGTTGTGAGAAGGGTGTGTGCGGGTCGGGAGATGTGCCAGACCTTTCTCAATTGGAGCAGAGCAGACCAGGCAGAGGAGAACAGGGCTGGATGCAGGTGTTGGCCCCTGGCAGGACTGTGCTGGGGAGCTCCTAACAGCCCCTCCGTGATGCTGAGCAGGGCCATGCTCTCTGTTTGGGGGATTTTCAGGGTTTAGTCTCTGTTCTGCTTGTGTCCCTTTTTTGCTGCCCTGCTAGTGGCCACATCCCAAGAAGACACCTGTCCCCTCACCTAGCCCTGTTCTCCTGGTCTGTTGTCCCTGCCTCTGGCCCACAGCTGTACTCCTGTTGGTCCAGGCTTCTCCTGGGCTGTGGGAGCTGGTCCAGACCTTGCAGGGAGAGAGCAAGCACAGTGCAGAGGGAGGTATCAGGAGGGGAGCGCATAAGGGAGGTAAGTTAGTGGGAAAGACCCAGGTGGAAGGGTCAGACTTTTCCATCACGCAAGGCAGCATGGTGTAGTCGGCAGAGCTCAGAGGCTGGGGTTGTGTGTCCAGCCCTGGGGCAGCTGCGTGCTACCCAGCAGCTCAGGTCTCTGTGTTGCCGTTTCATCTCCTGTAACAGGGGAATAAGGAGACTGATCCTCTTCTTTGGAAAAGGATTTTGCAGCTCCTTGGGCAAGCAGGACTAAGGGAGGATAAGGCAACGGTTACACAGTTTAGGGTTGCTTCCAGGCATGGCCTTGGGCTTGACTAACACTAACGAGCTTGGCACATGCATTTGGCTGGCAGGCAGTGTGCGTTGCTGCTAGCCAGGCTTTTACCAAGTGAGTGTCTGTGTTCAGGCCTGCTCCTTGCACTGCCAAAAGCTGGTGAAACTTTGTTGGTCTGAGACATTGTGTGAGTCTTGGAGTGTGGCATGTGCTTGTGAGGAGGTCTGTGCATGTTTTTGGACACAGAGCTTGTAGTCGTAGCCCCACCATCCAGGCTGTGCTCCGGGGATGTTAGAGATGGTGCTGCCAAGTTAACAAGTTGCTTTCATCCTCCATAGATAAGAGTGAGCTCATGTAGGAGGTTCCTGCTCATTCACTGTGAGTGGGAGGATGGAGCTGAGGGAGCCCAAGCTCAGACCAGCCCAACGGGCCAAATGGCTCAGGCCAGATGTGCTGCTAGGCTGCAGGGAGTTGTTACCCCAGGGTGCCTTGAAAGGTCACTCTCCTTTGAAAAAGAGGGGATGTAGTCAGCCAACAGCTGCTTATTTCTCCCACCTGCTGCTGCATCTGTTTGCCCACTTAGGCCACCTGTGACTATTGATCAGCAAACATGGCTTGGTTTGGTGCATTTTCCTCCTTACATTGTAGCTTTTGGGCAGGGACATGAACAGGAGAACTGACTCACTGCTTCCTCCACATCTTTTTATAATCGGTACCCCTTTTAGATATAGTAAAACCTTGAGACAGTTTTCAAATGCAATGTTTCACGGCATGGCAAATCTTCATTAAGAGCCAACACATCTGCATCTGCTGGGCATGGTACAGGTATAAAATTGAAATGGAGAGATCCCTCCTTGCAGGAAGAGTGTGAGCAGAGACCTGGAGCGTGAAGCAGTGTGCCTGGGCCTTCACGGCTCCCTGTCCTGTGCTGTGCCAGCTGTGTTTCCTCCCAGGACAAACCCGAGCCCCACCGTCAGAAGACATTTGGACCATGTGGAGACCTGATCCTCCCAGATTCTCATGCTTAGAAGAGATATCCAGCAGATGGCCACAGTTGCACCATGGGATGGAAACGGATGAAATGAAGAGGCAGTGGGAAATCACATGCTGCTGAGGTCTCCCCACATTTGCCTTTGCCGCTGTGTGTCACAAACCGCAACTGTTTTACTGAGTATGCTTTGCTGGAAGGGGAAGTAGGAATTCATCCCTCAGTCCCTGCCTATGCCCTTCCCTCCCCAGCACCAAAAGCCCACAGAACATGAGTCCAACAGAAGTGTTTGCTATCTGGGCTTCCCCTCACTTCCATCACCCACAGGGGCCTGGTCTTCCGTCAAGGAGGTCACTGGATCCAGGTGGCAGACAGCACAGGCAGGCAGCATATCAGGACATGGTGGATGTGTTCATATCTCCCTTCTCAGGGCTCACAATCCAAGGAGGAGTTTGCTTGCCCCAAACAGTGGCCATGGCAGGATGTTTAGAGGAAGTTATGAGGAGGTAAGTCTATGCTGATGCCTCATCCTCCGAGCCAGGAGGGGGAAGGGCAAAAACTACAGCTTCGAGGGCACTGTTGCAGAGCCGAGGGAGAGAACATGATCCTGGTCTCTGCTGCAAGCTGTCGTGAAGCTCCGTGGCTTAGCTATGCCCACAGAGTCAGCTAGAGGGTGCCTTGTAAACTCCCTCCTCATCCGTCCTCTGTGCCGGGTAATGGCCCAGAGTCACTGCCTCCTGCCCTCAGCAGTCAGGGGGATTTCAGCTCTGCTGGAGTCCCTCGTCAATGAAAAATCTGTATCACGTCTCTGTGCTTTTGGTGGCTTGTGAAGGTGACTGCCTTGGCGGAGCCAGGATGGCAAAGCGATGGCTTCGATGCTCCAGCCAGCTGGGCCCGGAGGATGTGGACCCCCTCCACTAGGCCATCTCCTCAGTGAGGCAGGGGACCATGGCAGAGCTGCAAGCAAGGCGGTGGGGAGACAGGCAGGAGGGCCAACACATGCTGTCAGCTTCTATTTTTTTGTGCCATCTTTTGTTGGTAACAACTCAACCAGGGAAACGGGGCCACATCCCTTGTTCTTCCGTGGGCAGGGGGTTATGCAGCAGGAGGGCACTGAAGCAGATGGGGACTCGCTGCATGTGCTGACCTTCCCCTTCACAGTTCACCCTTGTGATTTATACTCCAACTGCCTGTCTCCATCCCCCACAAATTAAGGCAAGGCTGTGTAGCCACTGCTGGGAAGAGAAGGCACAGAGGGGCTGACTTCAGCCTCTTTCCTGCCATGGCCTGGTTGGGAGAGCCTCCTCAGAGGCTGCTTGCTGATGTTGGGCCTGCTGGAGACGCCTGGTCCGCCTGGATGCTCTAGCCACTGCATATGGCTCAGTTTCACGTGAAGGTTCTTCGCTGTAGGCAAACTCTGAGCAGAGGTTTCAGCTGGGACCCCTGAAGTCTTGGTGGAGCTCCCAAAGGAGGGGTCAGTTGCTCATTCACCTCTTAGCTGTCCCATGAGTTCACCCTGTATCCCTAGGTGGAGTCATTTAAGGGAGGTTTGGCTCAAGTACTTCTTCCAGGAAGGCAGCTGGTTGTAATATGAAGACCAGGGAGAAATAGTGTATCCAGCGCTGCTCTCAGTGGCTTCTTCCAACAGCCCATCCCCTTTGCTATCAGAAAACATGGCTCTTTGTGTTTGGCATCAGCCCTGACAGCTAGTCTAGCTGTGCTTTTCCTAGAAGGGTTTCAGAGCTCACTGCTACCAGCTTGTCTTCCCACCCTGTGAAGGTAATTAGCCATTGGATGGGAATCAAAACATTTTTGGGCTTTCCTTTTCCAACAAGCTCTGCAGAGAGAGCTCAGATTCTCTCTCTGCATTTTCTTCAGCCCTGGATTACTTTTATGCATGTGCTTGCTCCCACAGCAAATTCTCCTTTGGATTCCTGGAAACCGTAGAAATAGCCCCTGGTTTGAACAGGCAGGTGTGGGAAGCATGTGGCCTTTGCAGCAAAGCAATTTTTTGGGCTGCTGCAAACAGACAGCGTTTGGGATGCTGGCACGTGAGCAGGCAGACATGACTCATCTTCCCCCACATACCCATGTATTCTGCCCAGTGCCTGCAGTTGTGCCTGACTGCATGTTCCAGCAGAGCTTTTGCCCTATCGGACATGTATGTGGCACAGAGTGGTATCTGCACAGGGCACTCCACTCCCCCTTCTGCCAGCTAGAAGCCTTTGGGTTGGGTCAGAGGTGCAGATGGCGCAGGCACAAGACATCTTGTCCCCAGACAAAGTGATGCCTGCCAGATGCTGGAGGAGTCCTGCCTGCTCTGCACAGTGCCTGGTGCACAAGGCAGGAAAAGCCCAGGCCAGGCTGTGGAGAAGCAGGAGGCAGCTCAGGCTCTGTCCTTTCCAGGGCTGACTGTTTTCCTGGACATGACAGGTGTTACACAAGCCTGTTATAAATGCCCCCACCCGGTCCAAGCCTGTTCTTCATTAAGCAGAGATGAAGTTTCTGTTCCAGATGGTTCTGCAGCCTGGCCCACCTCCTCTCACACACCAGCATCTTCGCAGATATACAGTTGAATGGGGCTGCTGGGTCCTACAGAGAGCCTTGGGGTGCTCTCCCTTGAGGGTCTGCATGTGATTGCTGGTGCCCTTCCCTGGGACCTCAGCTCCTTATGATCCGTGGTCCTGGTCCTGCTGCACTAGCTCTCCAGTTTGGTTTTCTTGCTCACCAACTATCCTGTTTCTCTTTCCAGATGCTGCCGTAAAGGCTGAACTGCCATCCCACAGGGAGGTAGAGAGAGCTGAGCTCTTCCTGGAGGTGCTTTCCTGGCTTATGCCTCTTGTCCTAGGTCTTCTCTAGCCCTGGAGTTAGTGCGATACTACTTGGGGTGCTCTGGCCCAGATGAGGGCAGGTGTGAGATGCAGGGTTTTTCTCCCAACATCCCAGGCATGTGTATTTTCTACAGAGGGAAGGCTGGTGATGGGTTCACAGCTGGAGACAGCTGTGCTGAGATGTGGGCAGCCATGCTCTGCCCTTATTGATGCAGTAGGTACCTGCATCACTTCTCCTATGCCCCCACAACTTCCTTTTGCCTACAGACATAGGTGCTTCTCAGGGCAGCCAGCCCATCTGAAGGATGGGATTGCAGTGCACTGCATAAAGTTCTCTTGTTGCACATGTGGGATGGTTGGAGGTGGCACGTGGTACTTGGCAGCCAGCTACTGCATTGTGCAAGAGTCCAGCAAATGCAGGTGGAGGTGCTTGGTGGGCCCATCTGCACTGTGGAAATCTATTTCCAGCATGGCAATGGCATGGCTGCAGGCTGTGTGGGCAGAGCTCTTCCTGCTACTGCGTTTTTCCCTGTTGCTGAACCAGCAGTGAGAGCCTGGCAAGTACATGATGTTGATGGGGTGTTCGGTCAAGCTTAGTTTGGAGGCTCCGCACATACCTCATCACACCTTGCTGCAGTCGGGACACATCTGGGCAGACTCAGCCTCCTGATGGTAGGGCTGACCCTAAGGGGAGTCTCAAGTCTTAAATGTCTTGAGCTGGACCTTCCAAGTGTCCTACCCTGTCACTCCGCTGTCCCTTTCCATCACCTTTTGGGCTGCTGTCCCATCTGTTTTCTGCCAGTGTGAGACTGAGGCTTCTGGGGACATCACCACGCTATTAACTGCTGATTAATAGGAATTCTGGGAAAAGTCCTTTGTTGTGGCCACAAAGGCTGAGTCAAAAGCCCTGCTATTTCCAGATGCTTCATTTGTTTGTGGGTTGTTTGACTTTTCTTTCCCCTCCTCCCCGCACAAGCTGCAGGCTGTCATGGGCTCAGGTCCCAGTGCAGGGTCTCTCCTCCATGCATTGCCCCTTGGGCTTTTTCCGAGACTGCAGCCTCCTTCTCCTCTTTGAGGTGGGTCTGTGCCAGCTTTGCTGCTCCCTCCACTGCCAGCCATGCTTTAAAACAACCACCACTCCGTGGGGTACTATTCTGCCTGATTTTCCTCCCCTCTGCTCCGTGCTGGTGCTGGTACCCTCCAAGCGCACCCACAGCACTTTGCTAATGCACTTGCACTGTTGGCAGGGCCAACCCAAGTCATCTTCATTTGGAGCCGGTTTACGTGCACTTCTGATGCTGTCTCACATGGTGTGGACATGAGCTTGGAGCCCAATATGGAAAATATCAATGGCTTGGTTTGTTTTCCCTTCTTGCTGCTCCATTTGCTTGGAATGGGGATTCTCCTTTACCAGGTGCAGTGACTCTGAAGCAGAGCTGGTCAGAACCCTACACTAGAAAGACAAAAAAGTGGTGGGAAGCGCTGTTGCTTTAAAAAGCTGGAAACGTACAAGCTGGTCCTGGCCGTACTCCTGGAACGTGATTCCCGCTGGGGTGAGACAAAAGATCCTTTTATCCATACAAATTGTCATTCCTCAAGCATTTAGAACCAAAGTACTAGTGTTAAACTAGTTATCCAGTTTAACTTGAAGCATTCCTGTTCAGTTGTGTAACACATTGCCCCAGCCTAAGCCTCTAAATATTGTGCATATATTTAGTTTAGTCATAGGAACACAAAGAAACTCACTTATGCACTCCCTACTAGAAGAGAAACCCCTTTGCTTTGCCTATGTTTCAGTCACAGGATGTGAGCTCTGGGGCACAAACTGCTCAACCCCTAATGATGCTGATGGGAAAGTCAAGGACATGCTCCCAGGAGACCCCAATGCTTTCTAAGGTGTTCAGCCCCTGCCTTGGTGTCAGCTTTGCCAGCCCACCCCCTCTAAGTGCAAACATGTCTTCTGCTTCCTTCTGCCCTTGGGGGACGCGAAAGAAAAACACTTCCCTCCACCACCTCCCTGCTGTCACGTGGCCATTTGGCCGCTGAGCCACCTGAAATAACAGCATGAACAACATGAACATACAGGCGAAGCAAGTCCTCCCAAATAACTTGTCTCAGATCCTTCACTTGCCTTTTTCCTCCGCTCCCAATGCTTAGGGAGCAGAGGGCCTGGAAGGGGCCGGTATATACTTCCCCAAAAGGTAATGCATTGCTGGGATAGCTTGGACTGCAATGCTTTTACATAGGTGGCAAAGCCCTGAGCTTGTTAAAAGGCATTGTCTTGTACCTCTTGAGAAATTATGGCTGCTGACCTTGAAATATCAACATCTCCAAGAAAAACTGGATTGTATTTGTATAGTGGGTTTTTTGGTGAGTATGTGTGGGAAGCTGTGAGCCTGCTGGTTTATGATTCACTTGAAAAAAAATTTGAACTCAGTTCCTTTATGGGGAGAAATTAAGCAGCCTTATTTCTGTTAATTTTTTTCCATTTTTTTAAAGCTAGGCAGAGTGTAGTTAGACTCCAGTGAGACCCAGCATACCAGGTGAAACAGGGCAGAAGGCGGAACTCACTGCTGGCCCCAGAGATGTTTCTGACTTAGTAACAGGATACTTGTCCACCATGAGCTTGATTCACAACGCTCTCGACAGGACAACACTCATAATGTCTCCTCCAGTTTCTTAACACTGTTATTGTTCTATTCATTCTGAGGTTTCCATAAAAGGGCAGCTTATGAAATGAGCTACGTAAGTCTGGTCCTGCTATCTCTGGAAATCTTCGTACAAGGTATATTGAGTGGTGTGGGTTTTTCTGTTTTTGTTTTTTCTATTTGTGTTTTATTTTCAACTTACCTGACTTAGGCTACAGTTTCACAATATGCTGAACCAAAAGTACCGGTGCTTTAGTTTTCAAAAGAAGACTACTTCTGCTACTATCTTCCCAAGGATGTGAGAACTACTACTGCAGCTTCACATGCTCTCAGGTCTTCTGGTTCAATTCCCACAAGCTCTAAGTCAGAAGTCCTTCCAGGCATTTTTCCTTCAGCAAACTGCTGTTCACCAAAGACTCTCACTTTGGAAACGGGAAACAGGTTTTGCTCAGGCACGGAGGACATTTGAGGGGATGAGCAGCTCTAGCAATAGCTGGATTGGCTTTGGAATCCCATCACGGGAAAATCCAGGCAAGGGATGCTTGTGACAAATTGCTACTGGAGTAGTCTGAAGGCCCGAGGCTATGTTTTGTCATAAACCAAAGGTTTTCCTCCAAATTGTCTCTTTTCTACTCTAGACTGGCAAGTGGCTACACTGGTGTTAATTCTGACAGCAGCTACGATCACTCTCCTGTCCTTCCTCATCTCTCTGATCTCATTCTGCTTGGAGATCTACTGGCAGTACTACAGAGTGGTTGCTGTTCTTCTTTTTGCTGCAGGTACCTCTATAAATAGATTATCCTTTGGCTGCCTGGATTCGATTTCAAGGGATGAATTCTCTCCTCACTCATTTTGTACAGTTTGGTTAAGTTTATAAATCAGGGTAAGGTTTGGATTGGTTCCCCAAAAAAGGTGTCTCTGGGCTAACTGAAGAACAGGAGTGATTCACATTTCATTTTTAATAATGAGTTGTGGCCTGCTAGGATCCTGTATCCTGGGATGTGTGGTCTTCCTGTGTAGTATATTTGCTTTAAGCTAATGGCATCAATTTGCTCAATGTATATATTAGGGCCAAGCCATGAACTTTTTTGCCTGCAAATGGGACAGCTCAAATTTGATCCAGCAGTGAAAAGCTAACATCAGAAGGTTCCCTGGGGGAAGGAATGAACAACTTTAAATACAACCCTTCGAAAACACTACTGTTTAATTTACCAGAAACCTCTCCAGAAGCCACAGGACAATTGTCCTAAGGCAAAGGTGTCAGGAGCATCACTGAGAAGTGCTTGTGGTATTGTCCAATCCACTATACCTGTTCTCTAGGCTTGGTGAGTCAGTCATAGATTTGAAAGCGCAGTAACTTCACTCTGCAGTAGAAGGAGAGAGACAGCCCCCAGTTTTGTGTTTATTTGTGACTTTTTAAAATATTCATACACTTGCCAGTGGAAACTGTTTGCAGTATATGTTTCCTGTAATACTGTGAACCCAAAACCCAGTAATGCTGTGGACGTGAGTTCATGAAATTAGTTAGGGCAGAACTATCACTTAATGCAAAATAGATTTTCCAAGGTGAAATACAGAGATAGAAATAAATACTTTTTAATAACTTTTGCCTTGTAGTAGTAGAAGAAGTTGGGGCAAAAAGTTCATCCCTTGATTTTGGTTTTACGCAGCTGAACATTCACAGAGGCTTTAAAAATGATGAAGAAAGCACAATGTGGGTCTGTCCCAGGCCTTCCTCCACTGCTGAGGTACTAAATGTGTCAGCCCTCTATATGCTTAGATGGAAGGGGAAAAAGGGAAGTGGAGATGAAGGTTGCCAACAGATGACTGCAATTTTCCATGCCTCGAGTATCAGTATTTTATTGGAATCCCTTGTTAAGGGGAAGAACTGCAAAGTGATACATGCTTCTGGGCTCTATGAAACTGTAACACAATTTTTTTTTTTGCTTCTTCCCTGTTTTTTTTTTTCCTCTGTCCTAGTGGTACTACAGATCTGTGCCTTGATTCTCTATCCAATCAAGTTCATTGACAGTAGCATGTTGAGGAGCTACCACGAATTCAACTGGGGCTATGGCCTGGGCTGGGGATCTGCCATCTTCATGCTGGGTGCAGCCATCCTCTACTGCCTACGCACGGACATTTATGAGGGTGCCTACTACTAGGCAGGGGAGGTTAGCCACTTCAGATTATGGACTATAACTAGATTGCCTGGACCAGTGTGGGAGGGGTGGGCAAGGGTGGTTATGGGGTTCTTGGGTATATTGGAGCACCCATTTCCTAAGATACTGAAGAACAAGCTCGGCAGTAAGCAAACTGTGTTTATGAACAAGATGGCTATGAAGATCTGACATTCATTAAGGGATCAGAGCAATGGAGTGAAGTAAGTAATAGCTCCTCAGAATAATCAGCTGGTTTCTGTATCCCTCATGGCTTGATCTGTGTTTTTTTTCATTGTTATTATTTTTGTAACACAGGTAGGAACAGTGAGGTGACTTTAGGAAGTGATTTTCATTGTTTCATGAAGGAAGTCATTCGTTATTTCTTTCCTTCTGACATATTTATCACATTAATGACAACTTGGAAATTTGTAATATGGGTTCAGGGTTATCTGTGCACATGAGCTGAGAATGAAGGTCACAGAGAAGCCGGGGTGCAACGTTAAGAGCTACTGGGTCTTATCTTTTGGTGGCTGCACTCTGCAGACTGTGTTCTGATGCCGAGAAAAATAAACGAAAAGGCCTACCTCAGTCTGCATGTGTATTTTCTTTCAGAGATGTTTAAAGGATCAGGTGACTTTGTCACTAGCAGTTGGGAAGAGAGTTGAAAAGGTCTGGGACATAAATAAGCAGGAATTGCAAATTTAGCTCTTTGGACTAACCATACGCAGCAGATGGGACAAGTGGTTGCTGCAAACTGCTCAAGCCAGAAATACTTTGAGCTTTCCAAGCCCAGATTCTCTGCAATCCTTGTTGCCTAAAGGAATCTATGATGGAGAAATCTGGAGTCCAGCTCGTGGGCACTCAACTGTGCTGTTAAAGTCAATGGAAGCAATAAAACTGCTCTGACATTGGGAGGAGCGTCTCTGTAGGACCTGTCTTGCCAAAGCTCATGAGCTGAGGGAGCAGGGTTTGCTGGGGAGCACGCCTGTACTGGATTCAGACCTTCATCTCTCTCAGCTAAAGCCCTGCCTGAAGCTTTTTACAGCTTGCACTGCCAGTCGCTGCAAACTGCTGTTGTTGAAAAGGTACCTACTTGCCTGTTCTCAGTCCATATTTGAGAAAGTTCTTCTCTGTTCCTAAAGATCCTCATTCCCGAGCGTCCCTTCACCCTGCGAGCAGGCAAAAGTTCCTGTGAAGTCCTGTCTGCTTAAATGCAATGCCCTGCATTCCTGGATATGCAAGCATGGGGAATAGGTTTTTGGGAGCAATTTCAGAGACCTTTTTTTCAAAACCCTGTGTGCTTACAACGTGGATACTCGACAGCAGCATAACACGGCAATGCTAGCAGAGGATCTAGTCAAGCTCTTGAGAAAACCATAACTATAAATTAGCCCATGGCAACATATGAAAGGGGTCCTGTGAAGCTCATCATTCGACTTGCACTGTGCTCTCCTAGATTTGGATTCCATGTGGTTTAATGCAATGGCTTTTTCTGACCTCTCTCTTTCAACACTGACAGTCTGAAGCACATCTCCCAGATCCAGCCGGCTTAGTAGTTCTCTGGTCCACAGGAAAAAACAACAGCCCCATCGTGTGGCTATGGGACACTCTACTGAAGACAATCAGTGCGCTCTACAGAGCATAAGTGACATTTCCTGGGGAAATGCACTATTTCCATAATGCTAGTAACCACAAGCTGTACAAATACCTTAGGCGAAATAAGCTGGCTTCTGGCAAACTTGTGACAGCTAAAGAAGACAAACAATGGAAACGCAGAACGTAGCATCGCTCAGCGGTTGCTCTAGTTAAAAGCAGGCTCAGAGGAACCTCCTTTAATTTTTCTTCTCATTCTATTCCTATTATTAAAACTGTAGATCATGAAATTAATCCTTGCCTCTCCTCACCCACAGTGAAGGTCTTTAGTAAGGATTTGATGTCTTACACTCCCACCTCAGTCACTGCACGGAGTGAGATGCGGAAATTTTTGAATGTTGTGAGTCAGCAGAAAAATTTGTGTTGAGGTCTTGTGTTTAAATCTGAACCTTTAAACATCCCTTTTTTCTTTCCCCTCCCCACCATTGTTCTACACAAACAGTTTTGTTCTGAAGCTTTATTTTAAAGATAAGCTTTAAAATGACTCATTTTGCATGGGAAAGAATTGAGTTGTCAAGGCTTTCTGCACACACACCCCCAAAGTTTTATTTTCTCTTCACTAGTGAAAAGATCCAGAAGAGCCTGATGAGTTCAGCAAAGGTAACCAGAACACGAAATCACTGATGAGAGTATGTCTCCTTGCTACCCACCAGCTCTGAGCTGTGGGGCTGAGCGCATTTCATGGTTTCCTACTCAATCAGTGGTTACAACATGTATAAATATAGCAAGCAGAACCACTCTAACTTTCCATACTTTCCTGCTAATCTTTTTTTTTAAGCCATTGGCAATAATGAAATGACTGGGGATAACGACTGCCATACATTCAAGGAGGTCAAGATTTACAAAACGTGTTTTTCTTCTAACTAGATAGCGTTCCTTACGATAGAGTGGTGGAACAGGTTTGGATGTGTGAGCTTCATTGCACATTTCCAACCCTCTTGCTCTTGGCTGCTTGTTTTTTTTAAATCTGGAAATACGTGGCTTCCTAGTGTGTGTGTATGGGGTATTGTTTGCTTGTTTGTTTCTGGTAACTGAAGTGCAGTTTTAGTAATTTTAATCTTAGGCTTACTGATACTTTAGTTCTAGAGCACCTGCTACCCCAGAGTTTCCATTTGTCATGGAAATAAAGCTCACCTGGGCTACCTTTTCCCATGAACTGGGATAGCTGTTCTTTTGGCGTAACTCACAGAAAACTCGCCTGCTTGACCTAATGAGAAACAGTAGTAGCTGCTATCTGCAACACTGTTGGTATACAGTGTGATTAACAGGGATGCAAGGAGGTTATGCCAAGTATAGATCAGCTAATCTGGTATGAATTTCAAAGCAATGCTCTTGAAAGCTGCCAAACAAAGATTAAGGGAGACACTTTCCACTGCAAACTGGAGCGCAAAGCTGGGCTGCATAAGGAAGATCTCTGCTAAAACTCCTGGGCTGCAAAGGGAAGCAGCTAGCCAGGACAGGAGTGATTTTACTTATACTAGTGTCTGTCAACAGCTGTGCAGGACCTGAGGGGGAACAAGTGGCAAACGAGTCCCAGAAACTGGGACCTGCAACGTACAAAGTTTAGGAGGGAGGGACATTTTCACCCTATTTCCTTTCAAATGATGTATTTTACTGTTCTAGCTTTGGGATGCAGCTGTGGGACCACTGACTTACACAGACCACTTGCAAGCTCTGAGGGAGCCTTGCCGTTCCTTGCGCAAGTTCCAGATCCGGCAATCTGAAGGTGCAGCTGCCAGCGCTGCTTTCATGGGCCAAGTTTTAACAAGTCCTGTCTTACGGTTGTCATGTTGTAAGCACATGACTTCGGATGAGAGGAAAGGTGAGGGCACATGCACAGATTTTTCCCATCTGCACCTGTTGTAATATAAGGCTGCGTAGATGTTTAGATATTACAGGGGAAAGTGCAAAGGCCGTATACAGAGATAAGGCCACCCGCATGGGTGTTTCGGCACTGTCAGGGAAATGGAGAAAGGAGCTTTAAATCTCCCTTTGCACTGTCAGCCTCAATGCACACTCATCTGTCTGAGGAAGCACTGAGCACAGCAGTGCTTGTAACCCATACCAGAGTTGGCTGTAGCGCGTGGTCAAGGCAGACCTGCCAAAGGAAAAGAAAAACTGGGATAGGAAAATTAGCAGGGCATAAAAATTTCCCTTGTTCATCCAGGAGTAGGGGACACCACTAGCCTTTACAGCCGGAGGGGCTTTTGTGAATTTTCAGAAGTTTCTGTTAACTAACTAAACCAACTAAAGGATGAAGAAGCCTTCTATGTTTTCCTGGGACAATTAACTCCAAACTGGGAAATAAATTTGTCCTGTTTTCTTCCCTCCTCCATCCACATTAGGAAGGAAAAAATGTCTCTTGGATAAGAGCTTGTAAAAAAAAATTTATCAAGATGACTTCTCGTTTATGTTCAGCCTAGGCTTTTATGGGAGAGAAGTCAATCTAGTATCCTCCCAGGCACAGTGTGTGTGCCAAAAATTATTTTCATAAATACTGACAAGTTGGCTTTGCAATCTTAAGATATTTTCATAAGGAAAGGAATACCTGCACCTTCCTTGCTTTTCACTGAGAATTTAATCCCTAAGCATGAGGAGGAAAAGAAACTTAACAGAGTCAGCTCAGATGCTGTGTAAATACTCGTTTCAAAAGACAACATTTTTTCCAGCGTTCCCAATTCTTTTACCAGTGTTCTTCAGTCGCCGGCTACTGTAATCAAGGGCTTTAAATGTCTCAGTGTTTGTCTAAAAAAAAAAGTATCTTAATTGCTGTCTTTTACCAGGGAAGAGCTTGAGAATGAAGCTCAGCGTTTAAAACATACAGGATCGATATAATTAGCTATCAAATTTCAGCTCATCAGCTTTAAAATCCTACAGGCTGGTAACGTCCGCTCTGTTCCTGTGTAGCGCTCGACCTTGAGGACAGGCTTTTAGATGCGGACCGGCAGTCTCCGGGGCACATGGAAGTCCCTCCTCCTCCTCCCCCCAAACACAGGCCATCCCAGTAGGCGACCCAGAGGCACTGCTGATGCACGCAGCCACAGGCCCTTATGGCAGCTCAGCCCTGGCAGCTTCCGGCTCCTTCTGCACGTTGTCGCTCGAGAGAGCTTGTCGGTGAAGATCTTTAAGATCTTTTTAAAGAGTCAGCTGCTCTCCTAAATGCCCTTTAAAAAAAAAAAAGGAAAGAAAAATTTTTTGTAAGTCTTTCTTCACTAGGCTATTTTTAATCACTGGCTAATTACCAGTCAAGTTGCCTTATTTACCCTTCCTCATCAGCTTTGTCGCTGCAGTTAAGAGGTGTTTTTCCCGCTTGCGGAAACAGCGCGGTACAATTACAGGCCTGGAGGGGCTGCCTGGAGCAAACAGAGAATTACTCTTACTTGCGCCTAATAGCACGGACAGGATTGCCCAGGTTTGCTTTCTCCAGACTGGCAGCCGCTGCGTTTCAGCGAGGTGAGGAGGGCCAGGGCCGC